GGGCCCCCCCCAACAGGCGGAACGCCAGGGCCCGGTCGCAATTGCGACCGTTGCGACCCTGGTAGTTCCGCCAGTGGGTGTATCTAATAGAATGCTCCCCACAGGACGACAATGCTGCCATACAAGGGAGGCTCTCCCTGGGACAGTATGTGTTTTACTAGCTGGATCGCCAGGGGAAAATAAAGGACGAAAAGCCTAAAAAAGAAAACAAAATTCAGCCACCACAATTGAGGATTGGTAAGCTGCAATGATACACACACACACACACACACTATAAATAATTTAGAGTGGCAGTGCAGTTATCATGTCTTGCATAAGGTGTTAGTTGACCACAATTATATATAAACTTTTTTTTTTTTACCTTTTTGCCTTGTTGCGCTATTTCTTTTCTCCAGTTTTTTTCAAACGCAGGGTAAATATTATACGATGATTCATCTTCATTCAGGTCAATCAGATCTTCTCTTTCCAATGGTTTTCTATAACCAAGTGTTATGATCCTTTTTAAATAAAAATAATGAAGTAATATAGAGTGAATTCAATATAATTATTAGGGTGCCATGTATACAATTTAATAATAAAGATAAAACAACAATACTGATATACATATAATGCAGTAAAACAAAACTGATCAAATTATTTCATTAAAATTAAAGGGTCAGTTTGCCACTTTGCCGGACACATAAAGAGAAATTAGAATAGTTTTTATATTTCTAAGTTTACAAACATTTAAGATGATATTTTAATTATTTGTATGGCATGTTATTTTACAAATAAATACTTACTGTTGAATGTGTACATGCCATTGTGTTTGCAAATCATGCTGGGCTTTCCTATTAGAAAGCCCAGCAATGCATTTACGCTCTTAAGCTGGCAATGCACCTATAGATTATCTGCAGATTTTCTATGGTCAGATGGAAAAGGTGCAACAGATTCCTCCATCTACGCTAAACTGTATGGATGGAGGCATCTCCCCCTGGGCCAAGCTTTAGTATCTTGCTAGTCGGCCCCGCTGGCTCTCAGAATACCTGAACCATGCCGGCGTCCAATCGGATTGTTCAGGTATATTGAGAGCCAGCGGGGCCTGACTAGCAAGATACTGAAGATTCCCCAGTGAGACATTCCTCGTTTCACACAGATTAGCGTAGATGGAGGAAGTAAGAGGCGGCTCACATCTGAACAGTAACAGTGGCAGGGCAAGCTGGCCAGGCTGAATTGCACTGGCTGGAATGGAGAATCGTTGTGCACTGTGTGTGTGTGACAGTGCAGCAGGTTCTTCTCTTCCTTGCCCCACACACACCACTTCTCAGGACCATGGTTTTTTCCCCCGTATTGTACCTGCCAGCCCGCTCACTGTCACACACACAGCGCATGTAGGGTTCCCACCTGTCCAGGATTCACCCGGCCAGTCCGGGTTTTGAATGCTGTGTCCAGGTTTCATGGCAGCATTATTTCAGGTTGGGATTCCTGGCATTGGCCTATACACATACAGCACAGCAATTAATTAAGTAATAAAATGAACTAGGATCACACTAATTCAGCACGTTATTATTCTGAGTTGCCCCACTAAAGCGGCGGCCATATTAAGTGGGGCACGTAAGATTAATAACGTGCTGGATTAGTGTGATCCTAGTTCATTTTATTACTTAATTGCTGTGCTGTATGTGTATCGGCCAATGTAGTTGGATCTGTATGTGCGTTATAATTAATCGAAATTAATTAAAACAATTTTGATTAATCGAACAGGAAAATTTTAATCATTACCAGCCCTAATATATATCTATAAAAAACTACTATTTCTCTCTAAATTCCAGCATCATAATTCACGCATGAAGTAACTATACATTTTATACATATACACATACACAGTATGTATTCTGTGGCAATCCCACAGTGGAATTTGGTGTTATGATCTCCCAGGACTCTCAGCCACAGGGGCTGAGAGGTTTCAGGAAGCAAGAGTTTGTCTGGGTTCAGCTTGGGATTCTGGAACTGGGAGATTTCAAAGAGAATTGGGAAGGATGATGTGACTAAGCAAGGACTGCAGGGGCTTCTCAGCAGGTTTACCCGGACACTTGGGGGCGGTGTGAGATGGGGCTTGCCTTGGGGAGGGGGGTTGCATATGGAATTTACCCAAAGACTCTGGAACTATGTTGGGATACTTTTGTCATCTGCCTGACTCCCCACCTTCCTGATCACATGCACAAAGACTCCAACAGACACTGAGACTGATAAGATAAGGGTCTACGTGTCCCTGTTCATCATGGGTTTACTACTTGGTTTGAAAGTTGTTTTTATCTGTTCCTATTGGTTCTCGTTTGGGCATGATTCATGTTTATTGATGAAGGGGGATTGTCCCTTATTGCCTATAAATGTTTGTCCCGTTTGAAAATAAATTAATTTGTTGTTTTTACCCCAAACTAGTGTTGTCTAATTCTTGGGGGAATGAGGGTGTGTGCTGGCTGGAAAAGTACTGAGCAGGGAAGCAGTATTTGGCAGAGATACCAGGCTGGGCACCAGGAGAGTCCGTCATAAATGAGATCTCTATTCCTTGGTCCATGTTTTGGCAGTAACCAGCACCTGATTGCACAGGTGTGCACAGCCCTTAGGGCTTGTTCACACCACATACAGTGCGTTCCAGCATGGTTAGTGGCCGTAATGCCATCTAATGTATTCACTTCCCATTTTAGTAATTCTAGAGAAGAAAAATGCCAGCTGTCATCATGGTGCCCCCAACAAACACACACATATTGGGGAACCTTGCTGTGCACTTCTACACTGCCACTGGCAGTGACCGGTCTGTGTACTTTACAAATTTTCTTTAAAAATGCTCATAAAGTAACGTTTTGTTTCCAGTTTAATTATCTTTCATTAATGCTCCCCTAGGAGAATGAATTCTAGGGTTTCCATCATCATAGGTATGAGCATTTTGATCAATGTAGCCCGGGATGTCAGTTTCATGATGAAGATTATCCGTACCTGCTGTACCAGGAATATGTCACCCTGCTGATAAAGGAGACCTTGTTTTCTGGATTTTCATTCTGTATAGAAAAATATAAAGGTTCAAGTCAGTATATGCTATGAGAACAGCGTGTTTTTAAATATTGGAGATGTTCCTATATTGCATACATAACCTAAACCTAAAAAACACTGACCACGAGCTTATGCTGTCTGTACAGAGTGCTTCTCCCCATTGAGAAACTCATGAATGAACAGGAAGTGATGTAAATCACATCGTGTTCATTCATAACTGGGAACACATAGTACTATGTGTCCCCAGTTATTTACAAACACTGGAGTGATCAGCTGATCGCTCCAGTGTTTGTCCTGCACAGAGGATCGGAACATATCACTGATATGTACCGATCCTCTGCCGCTCGGCAAAAGGGGGCTCAGCTTCTCCTCTGGATCTCCCCTGCTCTCCCGGGCAGAGGCAGCGGGAGATCCGAGGGAGAAGAGAAAAAAGCACTTCAGCCGCAGTGGGGGAGGGGGCGGGCAAGTGACGGAGCCGCTGTTACAGCAGCATGTGCAGTGAAGAAAGGAGAGCCGACGGCTGTCAGATCCAAGCCGAGCGGCTCTCTCTCTTCTCACCGCTCGGCGTGCTGCTGTGATAGCGGCGCCGTCCCCCGCCGCCGACTGCAGCTTCACTTTTCCTCGGATCCCCGCTGCATACAGATGGGTGAGAGCAGCGGGGATCCAGAGAAGACAGGACATCGCGATCTACCAGTGATCGCAGAAAAAGGAAATAATATCACAGTGTTTCCGCGAAAACAAGACACTGTCTTATATTTCTTTTGCCCCAATAAACACACTAGGTCTTATTTTCAGGGGATGTCTTATTTTTTTATTTTTTTACTGTGCAACAAAATGTACAACAATCTAAAGTTATTCATGTACAACAATCCAAACGTTATCTGGTATGACTCCGCCTGTCACAGTAACCGGCGCTATAGAGGAAGTATCTGCTAATGCGGCTCTGCTCCCTCCGCTGCCGCAGCCTTGCTTTCTACAGCGCTGGCATGCTTTGCCACCAGGGGCAGTGGTACCAGCGGTGCAGCAGTGGGGACATCAGACAGTGGACAGCGCGGTAAAGTACGGTACCATTTACCAGTACACATTACAGTACAGTACCATTACATTAAGCAGTGCCTTCGGGGACAGCAGTTGGTGAAGTATGGTACTGGAGTGCTCCCTGTCTCTGCGCTGGCCGGAGGGAGTCCCCTGTCATCCCCTTAATACAGTATGTCCCTGCAGACTGATACCATCTCTCCTGCGCTTCAAGTTCCCCCTCACATGCTACCACCAAATTAGGTCTTATTTTCAGGGTAGGTCTTATATTCCAGGAATCTTGAAAAATAGTGCTAGGTCTTACTTTCGGGGTAGGTCTTATTTTCGGGGAAACAGGGTATATTCGCCAGTCTACCGGCAACAATCTTTGAGAATATTTTGGCATCCATGTTAATGAGGAAGATTGGTCTATATGAACCAGGGAGTGCAGGATTCTTTCCCGGCTTGGGCAGAAGTTTAATGTAAGCCTCACCACCTGTGGGAAAGTAAGCACCACCGTTCCACATGAAATTATATAGAGTACGAAGAGTGTCAGTAATGTCACCTTTTAGAATCATAAAAAATTAAGCAGTGATTCCGTCAGGACCAAGGGATTTAGTCCTACCATGTTCTTTATGACTGTGTCTATCTCCTCTTTAGTAATATCTGCATTGAGGGCCTGAATTTGGTCCAATGTCATCGTAAGAGTGATCTGGCTTAAAAAAACGCTCAGCTCCCTTCATATCACAATATCACTCCCGGCATCCACAATGTAGAGAGATTCATAAAACAGCTCCAGGGCCCAATTTATAGCCACCGGATCATATAACGAATTGCCTGTAGGATCCTGCAATGCAAATATGTGTGTAAGAGATGACTGTGCGTTCACTAACCATTAGTTTCCCTGCCTTGTTCCGTATTTATGAAAGGTAGGATCTGCAAAGGACGCCTTCAGTTGTTCATATCTGTCCGCCCACAAATCAAAGGCCTGTTTAGACTGTTCCCAGTGTTTTTTGGTGACTGGGGACTGATCAGCCGTTAGTTGTCTTTGAGCATGACGTACGGCATCACTGGCCTCCCGTTATGCTTTAGGGTTAGTTCACACCAGAAACTGCATCACAACTGCGTGCGTATGCACATTTGCACTGCGATCCGTTTTGATACATTTGTGATGTGTTTTGATGCGTTTTTTTTAAATAAAATGCTAATTAGACAATTAGGTCACTTCATTTTTCCTGTCAGAGCATTTCCTTCATTTGTTTTGGAGCTCAGACATGTTTGCTTTGTTGGCAGGCATGGTGATAGTGTTGGCTGTACCTACAAAGAGGAAGTCCCTGGATGATGACACAATCAATTCTGTGTTTGTTTGTTTTTATGAGTTTTGATCCGTTCCGGTGCAGTTGGATGCAGCTAAAATAGGACAAGCAGTATTTTTTCTGACTGCATCTGGACGGACTGCAACGATGTGAATACAGCACAAGAAAGCCCATAGGAAAGCATTGTGATGTATTTTGGCTGCAGCAGCCAAACTGAACGGACTGAATCACAACTACATATGGTGTGAACTAGCCTTTTTTTTTTATATGCAGACACTTAGGACTCAATTCTGCCCCGGAGGTAAGCTTTACCTGCTTTCTAGAAAAGTGTTGGCCATTAAAGTCCACTTATACCTTCCATGAAGAACATAGAAATTGACAAAAATCCTCATTAGACATAAGAAACCTTGGGAATCGCCAGATGATATTGTTAGCAATCCGAGGAGCTACAGTAAGAAGAATAGATATAAGAACATGATCAGAAATAACTATGTCATGTATATCGGAGGTTTTGACTAGGGATGCACCGATACCAAGTACCATACTCGGTTCAAGTCCAAGTACAGATACTTTTCCAGCTCCAAGACAAAACTGGAGAAAAATTCAAAGGTTAGGAGGCAGCTGTCATTTGTAAGGAGCACACGGAGCTCCTGGGATTTGTACATCTCTGTTTTAATGTATGATTTTGTTTTAATAAATATAAATAAAGGGATGCATCAATACCATTTTTGCGAGTCCAAGTTCTGGTACTTGCCGAGTACTTACAAGTATGAGTACTGATACATTTTTGCTTATTGTCATGTGACAGTTTTTCTAAAGCAATACAGACTAATGATTTCAGGACAGTGGTGGAGCGCCAGAGCCAGGTCCCAGCTGCAACCACTGCAACCCTGGTACTTGAAAAGTATCGGTGCATCCCTAGTTTTGACCATCTGTAACAATGGATTGGTGCAAAAAAAAATAGTCCAAGCGTTTACAGCAATCATGAACTCTAGAAATATGTGTGTGAACGGATTCTAGAGGGTGCCATAGTCTCCAGGTATCGTTCAGGTCCAGTGCTGACGCCAGATCTGCGAGGGCGCAACCTGAGGGAGAGTGAGATGTACGCCGAGCTGATTAGGTGTTAGAAGCCCTTTTTCTATCCTCAGAAAAGTTCATAGTATAGTTAAAATCCCCTCCCAATAGGTGAAGCATATTGGATGGTTTAGCCAGCCAGTCAACTGATTAAAATGGGATTTAGTTGGCGAATTCTGCATATAAATGTTGGAAATAGCTAGTTCTCTGTCAAGGTATTTCAGCTATAATGTCAGCATCTGTCCATCATCACCTTTAACCAGATGTACCTAATAGGGAAGCCTCTTATGAAGGAGAATCACCACTCCTTCCCCAGCGGAAGAAGAGCCAAAGGCCTCCTCTACCCAGAACTTTTTCAGACGTGGGATGTCCTCAGTTTTTAAATGGGTCTCTTGTAATAACGTTACATCTGCATCCAATCGTTTAAGATGGCGTAAAACAGTATTACGCTTTTGTGGGGAACGCAAACCCTTAACGTTCCAAGAGACAATGTTCCTAAAAAACCCCCGTGTAGATGACATGAACGTTGTATAGTCCTAAAGTAAGGGCAGCTATAGAGCTGAATGGAATTAGAATACATACCCATCAGCAAAACCTTCATCTTTTAATTCTCAAGAGATTCTATATGAGCTTTGATATACTATATCTACCCTTTTGGTGATAAAGCTTGTATTGCTGCACACTGTAGGAGGAGTGGATAACTGAGTGGATGTTACATGTCAATGGATACTAGAAGGTGTCACTGGAGACCTGTAAAGTCACTCCCTTGAGAAAGGTCATGTTAATTAGACATAAATATAAAACATTAATACCGACATAACAACCACAAGGTGAAGATCACAACAAATGTGCTGCTTTGTTTCTATAAGATTTGGTAGTAACTCTTCTGAATACAACCAAATATGAAGTTATGTCTACACAGCGTATACTCTGTAATCATCAGTATATTTTTAAAGTCAAATACAAAATACAAATTTCCATTGTGTAAGGTTTCAGACAACCACTCCATATCACGCTGCACTGAGTCATTGTTGTGAAATCAGATTCCTTCTATTGTAGAGGACGGGATCTCAAGAATCCAATGTTGCTCCTTCTTGTCTAGAATAAGAATAATAGCCATAACTACTATTCCATGGCACTAACGTGTGTGTGGGAGCTATGTGGAGTGCTACCGTGTTTCCCCAAAAATAAGACACTGTCTTATATTTTTTTGGGCTCAATAAAACACACTAGGTCTTATTTTCGGGGTAGGTCTTATTTTTTTTATGTATAACAATCCAAAGTTAATACAAATCCAAGTTAAATAATCCAAAATGGCAAAGTTAAGAATGGGGTGATCAGGGCAATCAGGGGTGCCATACCTTTCCAAGAGCAATTTGGTAACCAGAATGAGGGAAGCGCACTTTCACTATGGATTCCTCACAGGTGGCGTGCATTTGGCATCACTCCGCCTGTGACGGGAGCCGGTGCTATAGAGGAAGCATCGGCTTATGCGGCTCTGCTCCCTCCCACTCGGTGGCACCGCTGATTCTCTCCTGCGGCTCTTCAAGTTACCCCTTATGCCACCATCGGCCCTGAGAATGGTCACAAATAGGTCTTATTTTCAGGGTAGGTCTTATATTTTAGCAATTCCCAAAAATGGTACTAGGTCTTAATTTCGGGGTAGGTCTTATTTTCGGGGAAACGGGGGTAAATGAAATTAGAATTAGACTAACATCCTGCACCTATGTACACAATCTCCTATCTCTATGTGTATGCTATGAGAATGACACAATAGAAGTATTATTATATTATGGTCATAATACTTCTCATTGTGTCATTCTCATAGCATACACATAAAGATAGGAGATTGTGTACATAGGTGCAGGATGTTAGTCTAATTCTAATTTTATTCAGCACTCCACACAGCTCCCACACTCACGTTAGTGCCATGGAATAGTAGTAATGGTTGTTTTAGTAATATTTGTTTATGTGACATTATTTGCTAATAATTTCATGAACACTTTGTTTCAATGATGTGTTTAACGCACTGACACACGACGTTTGCTACTTTATTAGTCACTTTTGAGACTTTTTGTTTTATAGACAATCATCTTTGATTTACACAAACAGTTGATGAGAAGAATGAATTTGAAAGGAAAAAAAAAAATCACAATCGTATTGTTCACTATAATATTAGTTTTTTGCACATATTATTTGTTTACTTGTTGGGTGACAGCGCCGCTTCACATATTTGAATGATATGAATGCAGGCTCATGCAGCCAATTTAAGTGAGCAGCTATAAGGAGGAACGCCCAGATTTTTGTACGAGTAAGCGAGCACAGAAGTCTCTATAGAAAACCTACACTAACATTGGGGGGAGGGGAAAATTAGCCTTTAATGTCACTATAAATTAAATCTGATGTCAAAACTTTTTTGTTTTTAATGAGGTAGGGGAGCGTTAAAACTGCTGTTTTTTTTTTGTTTTTTTTGCCATCTGTGTCTCATTACGGAGGTTTCCATTCACTTCCTGTCCTGTAGACTCAACAGGAAGTGAAAAGATATATTTTCGATGTGAGAGAAAGCCCCTCTTACATAGTTGTCACGCGAACAAGCATCCCCATTTGGAAGATTTCCCTTGTTCTGATGGCAACTGAAATCTTTGGATTTACCATCACGTATAGCAGGGGCGCCCACTATTTTTCGTCTGGAGATCTACTTTTCAAATGACGAGCTCATTGAGATCTACCAACGAAAAAATAGGATCGATGACATTGGTGATGAGGAGTGAATCTCTCTGAAAGTGACAAAGCCATAAAAACCTGACAGAGGATGTAAGCCTCCCCACTCAACAAATGTTTACAAAACATGCACTGAACATGGAATGCGCTTGCGGTGCCATTACCAGTTATTGGCACCCAAAATGTATCTGTGCAAATGCTGCGTTTTCCCGTGCATTCGCACAGGTGATGCGCGGGAAAACAATGAGTAAGGCATGTCGCAAAGTTTTTGACATGTACTAGTGTCCCGCGTTTGACGTGTATCCAAAGACCCACTGAAATCAACTGGGAAACTGCAGTACTTCTTTTTCTCCACAAGATGTCTCCAGTCTTTAAGGTTAAACACCCCCAAAGTTCTTCACACCAAAAGGAAAAGGAATGAACCCGGTCCGAACTTGAACTCCTCCAAACAAGAAAGTGCCATGGGCACTTCCACCCAATCAGCTGCGGGCTGGACATTCCCCACTCTGCAGCTGCATGTAAACAAAGGGGTGGGATGCAGTGACATCATTGACCTTATGCCTATATTTGGTAAATTACATTTGCCTAATATGGCTCTGTGACCATATTAGATCAATTATGTCAGCACCAGCAGCCCGCCCCTTTGTTTACATTCAGCGGCAGGGAACCTGGCCCGTAGCTGATTGGGTGGAAGTGCAAATTGCGTTTCCCTGTTTGGAGGAGCTCAGGTCTGGACTGGGTTCGGTCCATCCATAGAACTACACGGATACATCTCCTAGAACTACACGGATACATCTCCTAGAACTACACGGATACATACTCTGATCAGAGTGTGACAGCTCTATTATTGGACACATTGTGCATGGTTACCTTCCCACTGGCTGAGATCCTCTCATAGGCAATATTTTTCCCGGTGAAGGTTCTCAGCATTCTGAGTAGAGGAGCAGCGGAGATCCGGAACGATTTGAGAGCTTATAGAGCGGTGCTTGAATTCTGGTCTCCTGTAGATCTTGGTTCTCGGCTATTTCCGTAACCGCCCCTTCTCTTCAGCCGAAGGTGCTTTTCCATAGCCTCGCCTCTCTCCTAGCTCCGGCATGCTATCCGAGAGAGAAGAACGTCTCCTGTAACACTGTGTGATCAGCCACTGGTGTATTTGCATAGCCCCGCCCCCTCTCTGCTAGCTCCGGTGTTCTATCAGATAGCGAGGAACATCTTCACTGCACACTCTGTATAACAAATCACCTCGAACAGGTCACATTCCTCCTCAGTCTGTGCTGTGTTGGCTGCAATCTGCTATTCTCCTGATGATCAAATAGGCTGCAAAATAAACATTATTTTCATATAAACATTATTTTCATATACTTTAGTGTTTTTTGGGTCATGTAAATTCTCCACTGCTCATCATAATCCATATTGCTCAGTTTATTCTGCACTGTTCATCCCAATCCACACTGATCTTAATCCCCACTGATAATCCTAATCTGCACTGTTCATCCCAATCCACACTGATAATAGGAATATGCACTGTTCATCCGTATCCCTAATCTACACTGTTCATCATAATCCATAGTGCTCAGTTCATTCCGCACTGTTCATCCCAATCCACACTGCTCATCATAATCTGCACTGTTCTCGCAATCCATAGTGATAATCCTAATCTGGACAGTTCATCCCAAACCACACGTATAATCCTAATCCACACTGCTCATCCTAAGCCATAGTGCTCATCCCAATCCACACTGATAATCCCAATCCACACTGATAATCCCAATCCACACTGATAATCCTAATCCACACTGATAATCCCAATCCACACTGATAATCCCAATCCACACTGATAATCTTAATCCATACTTTTCATCTTATTCCATACTGCCCAATCTTAATCTATACTGATCATCTTAATCCACACTGTTCATCGCAATCCATAGTGATAATCCTAATCTGCACAGTTCATCCCAAACCACACGTATAATCCTAATCCATACTGCTCAACTGATAATCCTAATATGCACTGTTCATCCTAATCCACACTGCTCATCCTAAACCATAGTGCTCATCCCAATCCACACTGATAATCCCAATCCACACTGATAATCTTAATCCATACTGATAATCCCAATCCACACTGATAATCTTAATCCATACTTTTCATCTTATTCCATACTGCCCAATCTTAATCTATACTGATCATCTTAATCCACACTCATAATCTTAATCCATACTGCTCATCCCAATCTGCACTGCTCATTGTAATCCACACTCATAATCCGTTCTGCTCATTCCAATCCACATAAATAATTAAACCACACTGCTCATCCTAATCCGCACTGCTCATCCTAATCCACACTGCTCATCCTAATCTGCACTGCTCATTTTAGTCCTTACTCCGCATCTTCATCTGCACTGCTCATTTTCAAAGCTCTGCCCACCGGCGTAATACTTTGCCAAACGCGGACGGACCGCATCGAAGGTTCGAGTGTGCGGGTGCACGATAGCGTGCATCGCTGGTCCTCTCCCAAATCTCCCCAGTAAATACCTGGGTCCTGAGTCTGTGGAGTGGAGGTGGAGCTGCAGTGACATTGCTCAGTGTGGCGGCGGATGAACGCTGGCTTGTCGGCTGACGGAGCAGAAGGTGTTCTGGTGGTGGATGTGCTGTTGGCTCCCTCCAGTGGCAGAGAGTGGAGGTGCAAAGTACTGGACTCTGTAGAAAGAGATGGGTGAAGGTGATTTGGCTCCCCCTGGAGGTAAAAAAGGAAAAGTGCGGCTGGGCAGACTGTTTAATGAGTAGTAATAGCTCATAATAAAGAGACTGTCCAAGAGGCTGCTAGTGGTGGGGGAACTATGCAATCACCCCGTGTACCTAAACAGGCCAGCAAAGAGAAGCAGAAAGAACTATAGAGACAAGGAGGCAATCCTCCGGAAATCTTGAGAATTGGGCGCTATTCTGATTCTGATAGCAAGCTGCCTATTTGCTATCAGATTTGGTTCCCCTTCCAATATGGCTTCCACGCCCCATATTGTTAAAATGTGACATATTAGAGGTGATTTCTTATACAAAGTGTGGAGAGAAGACATTCGTCTCTATCTGATAGAACACCAGGGCTAGCAGAGAGGGGGCGGGGCTATGCAAATACACAGCGTCCTGTAGTGTCCCCGCTGTACCGGAGTCATCACCGATCACTGACACTGTACACAGCACCCTGTAGTGTCCCCGCTGTATCGGACTCATCACCGATCACTGACACTATTCACAGCGCCCTGTGGTGTCCTCGCTGTATCGGACTCATCACCGATCACTGACACTGTACACAGCGCCCTGTAGTGTCCCCGCTGTGCCGGAGTCATCACCGATCACTGACACTGTATACAGCGCCCTGTAGAATCCCCGCTGTGCCGGAGTCATGACCGATCACTGACACTGTACACAGTGCCCTGTAGTGTCCCCGCTGTACCAGACTCATCACCGATCACTGACACTGTACACAGAACTCTGTAGTGTCCCCGCTGTGCCGGAGTCATCACCGATCACTGACACTGTACACAGCACCCTGTAGTGTCCCCGCTGTATCGGACTCATCACCGATCACTGACACTGTACACAGCGCCCTGTAGTGTCCCCGCTGTGCTGGACTCATCACCGATCACTGACACTGTACACAGCGCCATGTAGTGTCCTCGCTGTACCAGACTCATCACCGATCACTGACACTGTACACAGTGCCCTGTAGTGTCCCCGCTGTGCCGGAGTCATCACCGATCACTGACACTATACACAGCACCCTGTGGTGTCCTCGCTGTATCGGACTCATCACCGATCACTGACACTGTACACAGCACCCTGTAGTGTCCTCGCAGTCAGGGCCGGCCTTAGGGGTGTGCGAGCCGTGCGGCCGATAAGGCCGGCCCTGCTCGCAGTATCGGACTCATCACCGATCACTGACACTGTACACAGAACTCTGTAGTGTCTCCGCTGTACCAGACTCATCACCGATCACTCACACTGTACAAAGCGCCCTGTCGTTTCCACCCTGTATCGGACTTCACCCTCATCGCCTGGCGGTCGGCCACATTGATCGAGGTGGGTTGGTCAGAAGGACTGACGGGCTCTACAACCATGCTCCAACTTTTTACAGCTTGCAGCCCTGGGAGTTGAACCTAAGGTCCGGCTCTGACTCCACAGACTTTGTAGAAACCCCTTTTCTATGACCATCTCATCCTCTTCAATACTTTCTCGGCCAGCTTGGAATGGACAAAATATGGCAACCTTTGCCCTTGCCTGCAAAGAGGTTAGGATTCACCCTACGCACCTGGTCAATCATAGATCATACGTTTTTTTAAATTACCTTACATCCATCGCAAGACAAGACTAGTGAGGTCTGCTGCAGACCTCACTAGTCACCCCCAGATAACCAGGGATCGATCCTGCTCACAGCCTCCTCCCTGCAAAAACGTGAACAGGTGAGGGGGCTCGGTGGTGGGTTTAGTGTATTATTATTTTATGGGGGGGTTAATAAGGGACACCTTTAGTGTATGTGTATATTGGGCCCCATTCACACATACAGTAGTATATTTCAGGTGTGATTAGAGATTCCTGTGTCAGGAACTTGCGTTTTCCTGCAGCAGGAATCCCTAATCTGCCATTTACAAAGCGGCAACTATAATAAGATAAGAATTATCATAAGATTATTTAAGAGAGTGTGTTTAGGGGCGGAGTTAAGGTTGGGGCAGGGTAAGGGTTAGGTGGGGCAACTGGTGGCTAGTAACTCTTAAGGCCTGGCTAGTAGCTCAGGACTTGAAATTTTGAGCCCTGTAATAGTATATTTCCCCCCCTGTTGGAGGAAATTGAACTATGCTAAATAGGGCTAGTATAATGTAGTGCAGTGCAGTTTAGTATAATTTAGTGTAATGTAATGTAGTGTAGTTTAAAAAAGTATTATATAGTGGGGTTTATTGTAATATAGTTTATTGTAGTATATAGTAATAATATAGTGTATTAGGGTTGCTACCTTTTCTTCAAGTGAAACCCGAACACTCTAGCACCGCGCGCAGCAAATCTTTTTTTTTTTGAGAATAAAGAGTGAGGAGAGGCAGCTTAGGGGAGGGAATAAGGAGAACAGCTATAGTGAACTATAAATCACAGCAATACAAAATAATGTGAAGCTACATACTCTGTGCTGGTCTGGGTTAGGGCCGTGTGTCTATTTGAGCGACACTCGGGTGGGCTGCGAGCCTCTCGAGTGGGTAGCGCGACACTCTGGTGGGCTGTGCGACACTCTGGTGGGCTGCAGGACACTCGGGTGGGCTGTGCGACTCTCGGGAGGGGGGCTCTTGTTGCAATAAGTGTGCTGTTGCATGATACGTCAATAAAAAGACGTTATTCTATCTTGGAGTGCTGGTGTCCATAATTTCTTTACACTCGGGAGGGGGGCACGACACTCGAGGGGTCTGCAGGACACTTGGGTGGTCTTCAGGATACTTAGTTAGGCTGCGTGATACTTGGGTGGGATTCGGGATACTCTGCTGGGCTGCGGGACACTCTGCTGGGCAGCACGGTGTCAGGGAACCAGTGTTGCGTGGAATTCTGTTCCCCTGTAAATCTTCGTTCCTCCTGCCGATAAGTTATTTTTGTAACCCTGCCTCTTCATGCCTCTTCCCTTCAGCTGCATGGGGATCTACATAGCCCGGCCGCTCTTCTAACTCTGGTGATCTATCACATAGAGGAAAACCTCTCCTCGTTCTTCTCTATGTGATAGATCATCCAGAGTTAGAAGAGAGGAGGAGCAATCACAGATGCGGCTGCATCTGTGCATCCTAGTCAAGCGTGATCTCGGGCAGCCACATAAGCCTGAAACCACAATCTTTCTCTGAGCTGCGGGCACCTGTAACCAGGCACAGGCTGCCCGCAGCTCAGAGGAAGATCCGGGTGGTGCGGCTGCTCGAGATCGTGC